TTGATTTGTCTAATAAAGCTAGTTATGTTGCAGGAAAAATGTTACAGAGATTTTTTCCAGCTTTTTTTTATTAAACTAATACATAGCCAAATAACTTGACTTTTAATGTGAATTCGCAGCATTCTGAACATGTGTGGCATCATATGTCTTACATATGAATTTGAAATTTGTATAGTCTAAAGGCGCAATGCATGTGCTCTTTTCAGATGTCTATCTCTTATCTTACATGGAAAGCATTAAAAAGTTCTACTCTCATATGCCTGACTTACAGAGTTGGTTTTTATTGATTAATTCCTGATTAATAGCCAAGATACAGTGATTACGTTAACAAAAAAATCTGTGGAGATCAGCAGGTTGAGGGAGGTGATTCTGCCCATCTATTCTGTGCTGGTGAGGTCTCAACTGGAGTACTGAGTCCAGCTGTGGAGTCCTCAATGAAGGAGAGACATTGACTTGTTGGAGTCCAGAGAAGGGCCAAAATGATCCAAGGGATGAAACACCTCTCCTACAAGGACAGAGAGATCTGGGATTGTTCAGCCGGGTGAAGGCTCCAGGGAGACCTGAGAGTAGCCTTTCAGTGTCTAAAGGGGGGCTGTAAGAAGGAAGTGGATAGAGTCATTATCAAGGTCTGTTGTAATAGGACAAGAGGAAATGGTTTCAAACTAAAAGATGGGAAATTTAGATTGAATGTAAGGAAGGCATTTTTTACAATAAGTGTGGTGAGACACTGGAGTGGGTTGCCCAGAGAGGTTGTGGAAGACCTAAGCCTAGAGGCACTCAGAGTCAGGCTGGATGGGGTTCTGAGCAACCTGATCTAGCTGTAGGTGTCCCTGTTCATTGCAGGGGAGTTGGGATAGATGAGCTTTAAGGTTCCCTTCCAACTCAAACAATTCTATGACTCTATGAACTTTGATATAGAAAAAGAATTGGTTCTATCTCCAAATGAGCTTAGTGGTGTGGCAGCCATTGGCTGGGCTGTACGGTCTGCCTAGTGACATTGGCAGGGAAATTTGCTGTGTAATGTGAGGAGAAACCATTATCTGTCTTACCAGTGGTGACTTTTGACCACTGCACAGGGAGAGTAGAGAACTGCCTGCTGCTTCCAGAAGATGAATCCTTCCCAAGGGCTGCTGTAGATTTTGTTAGCGTGCATGCATTTATTAGCAGATAAGGGAATTCACTGGAGACAGTCCCACAAACTGCCATTCAGAAAAGGGCTTCTAGAAGAGTATTATTGGTTTGGACAGGTGGACTGTGTTAATTATGATTCTGGATTTGTGGAAAGGCTATAAAAATCATATTATGAAAATGTTACCTCTTCAGACATGTACATCTGGTTGAAGAGATTCCGGGAAATAGTTGTAAGAAACTGTATGATTATATTCAAGTAGATATTCCATTAAAGTTAAAATGTGAGCTGTGATCTACTACCTGAGGACTAACAGAAAATGAAAAAGTTGATGAAGGAGCTAATAGTTTGTTATGTAAAGAGAAGGTGAATATAGAAATTCCATTAAGCTTGCAATCAATCAATAAAACAATGGCAAAAGGGGAAGAACAAATACTGTGTGGGAAAAAATTGGAATTTTTTTTTTTAGGTATAAGTCAAGGGTGAATAAAAATATCTCCTGCTAGGAGATTATTACACGACGAATGTAACTATGACATTCAGGTTGGGAGGAGGTCATTTTAATCTGAAGATTAACCTAAATGTAAACCCAAGAATTTATGCTTACTGGCACACATAGGGATGTTATACTAAGGTACTAAGTTTAGTAGCCACTATCTGAGTTTTACACATTAGGTTCAGAATAGAAGAAAAGATTTTTTCTGAAAGTCTTACATTGTCACTGCAATGTCACAAATAGAGAAGAGCTGTCTAGATGGCATTTGCCTGTCCATATTGATACTCATTTTTTTCCCCCACATTGCCAGGCCTGTTTAATGTCTTCGGTTTGTTTTAGTTGACAATCTCAAATATATTCTTACATTTACATACATACTATATTCTAACTCATAAAAATGTCTAAATTAACTCCTTTTTGTCATAAAACAGCATAAAATCTTGTTCATGCTACTTCAGCTGGGGAGTCACAAACCTTTGCAAAATCAAACTATGTTTAAAAGAAGAATATTTGAAATTTGTAAGGGAGAAACTCCTCTCTTTACTTCCTCTCAAAAGTACTTGGAACTGTTCAGAACAATACCAATTGTCATTCGGATAAGAGAATGGGTTTGGCTTGCAGATATTGATGCGAAGAATGGAAGCTTGGAGATGGGCAGGTTTCATCCTGTGGGTATCTGTGATTAATAAGGTTTCTGACATATTTAGTGATGTTATAAAAAAAACAAAAACCTGAGAACAGTAACTGCCTGCAGCCATCATTACCTGTAGTTTCACTGCACAATGCTTGAGCTAGGTTTTCTAGTGAAATTTAGCAAGAACATTACCTCTCAATTTCATAGAATCACCAAGGTTGAAAAAGACCTCCAAGAACATCCAGTCCAACCGTCCACCTACTAACAATATTTCCCTGCAAAATCATGTGCTTTAGTACAACATCTAAAAATTTCTTTAACACTTCCAGAGATAATGAGTCAGCCATCTCCCTGGGCAGACTATTCCACTGTTTCTTTCAGAGAATACGTTTTTTCTAATATCCTGAATTACTTAGAATTTCTTCTAGATAAACATTAGTTAGGTTGTATTTTGGAGTACTTCTCTTTCTAAGAAAAAGTGTAAAATCTTTACAGTATTTGATGGTGATGCCTTTTGAAATGATTATAGAAATGAACAAAAAACATGGGAACTTGCATATTGTCCAAGGAATTCAGTGGATTGTTGAGAAAACTAAAGTTTAATGCATTAAACTTTTTGTTACAATATATTTATGTTCTCAGTGAATTCTTACCTGTTTCTGAAAGTTTGTTAGTGTTAAGAACCATAGCATTAATATATCTGTTTTTTCCAACCCTAACTGTATTTTTTCCACTTACTATTTACTTAAAAATTACTCTGTTGCTTGTAGGTATGTAACATTTACATGCAATTTGCATGCTCGTTTCTTTTTTTCAGTGTAAGAATGTTCCTCCCTGATAAGTTTTACTGTACAGCTCTGATAACTAAAAGCTTCCGTTTGTCATATTTCTTCTCTCCTACTCACCATGATGACAAAGACTAGAAACTCTCTCTCACTAGAGAGAGTTCTTATAGAGAACTATATGAGTGAAATTTTCTGACTGAGGGTACAGTTCATGCTCCTACAAGAGCTGTTCTGATGAGGCAAGTTCATAAATAACTTTTATTACAAATTCAGCTTTCAGAGTGTCACACATCCTTCAGATCCTGCACACCATGTCAGTTCTAATGAGTTAGAAATAAGTTCACTCTGCATTGGAAATGCTTGATGTTTAGAGGCTCAGACTGGCTCTCCTCTTGTTGTTTGTTTTAGTATAATAAATTTTAATGCCAAAGCTTTACGGCAGAGAAGTAAGTAGACAAATCTTACTGTTGCAAAGGAATTACTGGGGAATGTAATACTTTGGCATATTACTGTTAAATTTCAATGTTGGCATGCACAGCATGTGGTGCCAGGAGGAATGGGAGTTGAAATATCTATATGCAAATCCTACTGTATCTTTTCAGTATAGAATTTATCTCCTTGCTGAATATATCAGAAGCATATTTAAGTCTTTTTTTTTATTTTAGAATAACAAAACAACAACAACAAAATCCAACAAAATCCTACTTGCTGTAAAATACAATGTTATGTAATATGGATGGCATTATTATAGATGGAGTTACTGTTTTTCTCATTTGTCTAGGATAAAGAAGATGAACTTTAAAAAAAATCGGAAGAAACAGACTGTGTTCTGTCTTCCTCTTTCCACTTATCTGCTCAGATATTTACATAAGCATAAAGAGTATAATTTTTCCAGTGCTTGGGATTCAGAAAATCAAGAACTTTGTTCTATTCTTGGTTTACTTGCATCGTAACCTCAAATACATGCCAGACAGAGAGAAATAATTTTGTCTTTTACTTCAACATTTCCTATTGCATATAGTCGTTTACCTGTTACCATTTACCATTATACACTGAAGCTCTGAGCTTCATTGTGAATGGCACTACTGCTGTAAAAGAAGGGACTTTTCCTTGGAGTCTGCTCGTGTGAAGGTACTGCATAAAGTTGCATCACTAATTATTTACAGCTTGGTATGCTCATCATTTGTAATCTTGATTCAAAGTCTTAAGTAACAGAAATAAATAAGGCTTACACATGTGAACCCAGTTAAAACTTGCACTTCTCAGCTGTAATTGTATAGATATTGTCTTCCTGCTTCTTCATAAGCCTCTAAGCTTTCCTTGGTAGATCTTCAGATCTTTATAAAAAACTGATTAGGTGATGTCTTCCTCTTCTGTTTGGACAGAAAGTGCTGGAAAGATGGGGACTGTGACAACTCTCAGTCCATATCAGTTAGTGAGTTTGCTTTACAAATTCTCCAGTTTTTGAAAATCTTTTAAAAATCCTTTTGAAATAATATTTCAGAGGGACAGTGTAAAGACTAAGATTGCTTAGCCAAACTGTCTGTTTGCTGAGATGTTCTTAAAAAGCACATTTGTCTAAAAGTATGGAATAGTTTAATTGAAAGAAGTCAGTGATATGATTGGTCTCCTGAGTTGTGTTCATAAGAAAACATGGAAAATGTCTGTTTTAGGTAGAAATGTTTAGAATTTCTCAACTCTGACCAACTCATTTATATTGATACACTTTAGCTTGAAAACTTTGCACATTATAAATTATGTAGTTAATCCTTTTAATTTGATAGCTCATACTTTTAGTTTCATAGTATGCACTCTGCATGGTTAATGAAGGATTGTTAGTAGCAGAAAAGCCACAGATCAGTAAAGGCAATGTTGTCTCAAATAACAGATAAAAATGATTTCTTTACATTAAATGAGTTTCTTAATTCATTTTATTCTATCATCTCTTTCCTTCAGAGAAAGTGATTCTGAAAAATTGCTTCCTTATTAGTTTCTTAAGCCAACGCTGGATCTTTAGTGCTATGCATTGAACAAAATATCTGCTCTCTAGGGACTTTGACATCCTTGCATATAATGTAATGGTGAGTTTCTGTTTTTGTTTGGTTTGTTGTTTTGTTTGTTTTTTTTTTTTTTTCCCTGAGAGAAATCCAAACAAGTGAACAAATAGAATTTATATAATTAGCCTGCAGATATACAACCTGTAAAGTTTGGAATGGTCAAATAGCTTCATACAAAAGTTTGTTTTCATTTTTTATTCTTTCATTTAGAAGTATTTATATAGCCTTCATAGAGGCAACAGAAGAATTATTAACCCTTCTGAACTATAAGTTACGAAGTAAAAAGAAAAATATATATATGTATTATTAAGTTAATATTTCCCACTGTATTTGACACATTATCTAAATCCATTTCACTTTATAATTATACTATGCATATTGTCTCCTTGTAAATTTTTTTAAACTCCAGGTTTATATCATGCTATAAATATAAATAGAATAAAGAAGGGGGTGATGCTTGCATTTTGCACACAGAAGTCTGGTGCCAGAGAACTATCTTAATAGAATACAGACATGAAATATTTACTGTCAATATTAATGCCCTTTAATTATGTATGTTTTCTCAATATGTTAATATTCCAGTGCTATGAAGAGAGGACATCCAGACCAACGTCATGATCTCAGTGAGTAAGGACACTTGATCTGGCTGGATGACAAATCTTGGCTGCTGATCAGGCCTTTATGCACAATGCATTGGGCTCAACAGTCTGCTCACTGTGGATGTGTTCCCAAAGGGCTGCTTTCAATAATTACTTCTTTCTTATCTAGATGATAGACATAAGTAACACATGATTATCCATTACTATCACTAAACATTCTATGAACATATAAAGTCATTAACATTTTATCTACTTGTCACTTTTTAAAATTTCTTTTTGCCACATAAACTATGAGACCAGGGTAGATATAGCTCAGAGCTCTTGTTCCTCAAAAGAGTTATCTGGAAAGTTACGTTTTTTTTTCAAGCACACACCAGAATCATCAGCTTTATTAGATCTGGGCAGATGTTGTCAAGGTTTAACTTATCTAAGAATTGCTGTTGTGTAGGTATCATCTCATCGCTTATTTTAGTGTGTGATTTTATTTTAACTTCAAAACTCCCCAGTCTCAAGATTGAAATCCTGCAAACAAAATTTTCTTGAAATCTTTTTCATACTTTAATCTTCTTCACATGCGTTCTAAGCAGTTACACATGAAATTAAAGATTTGGGTGATCTGAAAGCATATGTAACAACATGATTGTCTTCGTTTTAGAAAAATGAGCTAAATGCTAAATAATACTAAATAAACTGGAAAATCAAGAAACTAATGATGTTATTTTATTTTATTTTTTTCTGTGGAGGTAGCATAGTAAAGTCTGAGTTAATCGAAAACAACATTTATTTTTAGCATTGCACAAGCACCTATCAATGTATCAAAATAAATAAATAATTCAATTTTCTATATTACTTGAGCTGAAATTTTAATTCTCTCCAAAAGTTCTTAATTGGCAAGTTTTTTTTCTGATCTGGAATGACTATGTAGCAGTCTTTTTTCCTTGTTTAGTTTAACCAAATTAATGCCATATTAGTATCCAAATGAAATAATGTCTATCAGATACATAACTTTCACTTTACCAAAGGATCTGTTTTGTTTTTTACTCATCTTCTTCATACCAGCAATTTATATCTATGCAGTCTAGGAATGCCCTAAGCAAACCTGCCCCATCCTTAAACTTCAGATACCATGTCAAAGCTTTGGACATGGAGACCTGAATCTCATCTTTCAGATGCAAGCCAACATATAAACTAGTATCAAGCATCACTTTCCAGTCTGCAAATAACAATAATATCTGTAAGGAAAGAACTCCTATAAAGGAAAGACACTTTGATTCCTTGCCTTTATAGCCTGAGTCTTTTCAGATGAAGCTAGTATAGAGGAACAATAGGAAAAAATCATGTTTCATAAGAGAACCCAGTGAATTCAAATTCAAATCTCTCAAGTAAAAAGAATTCAGACTTTAAGATGAGAAGATCTTTTTTTTTTCTTTCCCCTGCGGTGAGAGGAAAATTGAAGATTAAAATTAGCTTGGGTTATAAAATTATGTAAGGTATGTGCAAGTTTGTTGGACTTTGATCCACAGTGAATATATCTGATATAAATCTTTTGCTTCGGTTAATGGAAGGAAGACGACAGCTTAAGTCTGTCCATGATCAAAAGTCCTGCACAAGAAAGATAATACCAGGGAATATTATTCCTCAATAACCACCTCAATCAGATTGCCAAAACTTCTGTTTGAAAGAAGAAATTACAAAACCAAATATATCAGCCAAATTCGACCACATATTTTAAGCCCCAAAGAAACGATATGAGCATCCATATGATGATCAACAATTTCAAAAATAACTGAGTCAAATTCTTTCTTTATCTTGGTGCAATCATAGATGCTTGCATGATGTTAAAAATAAAGGTTGTTTTGCACTAACTCAGTCTTTTCTGTGCTAACTCCACAGGAAAAAAAAAAAAAAAATCATTAGATTCTTGACTTGCCAGATTATTTAGTAACCTTTCCAGTAAATTTATTCAATCTTCTAGCAGAAACAATAGTTCAAATTCCGTTCCATTACTTCTAAATGAGAAGCCTGTGTTCCCACAAAACTGGTGCATTTCTACTTGCACTTCTAGGCTTAAGTTTGGCTTTCATCATAGCAAATTACTTTTTGCCAATGCTGCTACAAATATCAGAGCAGAAAGCCCTAGTTAAAAGGGCAAAATGAAGAATCTCATTGGAGCGATGTCTAGACAAGTTTGATAACATAAATACTTGAATGTGTCATGATTTAAAGCATTGTAAAATACAATGATGCTATTTATCATTCCTTTTCAGACTGAGAAATCCTATTTAATGAAATATAGATCCTATTGTACTGGACTTCACTGTTACTGATTCTAACTTCTATTGCCATGTTTGATTTTGCATCTTGGCTTTTGAAAATGTTCTAGGTATCACATTTATTACTGGGAGCATTTACAGAAAATTATAAAGCCTTTTAATAAATGAACTGTATTTAAAAGTGGTGAAGTATGAGAACTTTCAAAATGATTTTCAGGAAAACAATCTAGATAAAAGGAACAGGAAACACTTTTCTGCGTTCAGGTGTCACTGAATAACATAAAATTACATTGGTATGCTCATGACTTGTTGGTATTTCTTAATTAAATGCAATGATGTTAGCTGACTCAGAACAACGGAATAAAACCCTAAGAATAAAAATTTATTGCAGTTGAGTATTACAAAGCTTAGTAAGTATCATTGTTGATTATTTCTGTCATCAGGACAGAGAATTTTGGAGACAATGGAGGAGGTTACACTTGTTTTCTCAGTTTAAGAACTGGATTCATGTGCTAAATGTGCTCTTGTGTTTAGAATTTCGCATGCTGTGTGTCAAAATGAAGTCAAAGCATTTTGAATATTTTAGTGTATATGACTGTTAGAACAAATGCTTGCTGTGATACACTAAGCAAAAAAAAAATCAGAGACAGAAAGATACATTTTCTTCTGAGTTACCTTAAAAGGGGATCACAACTGCTAATAAATGCAAATTGCAGTATTCAATAGCCTGCTGCCTTCCTAAAGCAGTAAACCTTTAAGTAGCATAAGTCAACCTTTACGACTCCTATAAAGTAATCTTGTAGGTTACTATTATTAGTGCTCAAGGCAGAAGAATCTATAACACAAGAACATGCTGTAAATTTTGAAAAAAAAGATGGGCTGGAATAGTTTTTTGTTGTTTCCTGAACTGTGAGGCTTAAATTTCTTGTTCAATACAATGCTCATTTAGCAAATCATTTAATATCATAACAAAATAACATTACAGTCTGATAATTTTGAAATTTATTATTTAATGCTAAAAGATTAATGTGATCCACTTTGCTTGGGTTTAATGATTCAGACAAAAATTCCATTTCCTAGGCTTCAATTCTTGCCCCTATAAGCATATTTTGATTCTCTAAAGGCAGTTTTATGATGTATTTAAATCTTTTCACTCAAAAGTATTTTTTAAAAAAGCAAGTAGTAATAAAAATCCTCTACAAAGAAATATAATGTGGGAAGATTATTGGCAGTTTTTAAAGTATCAAGTATATGAATAATTCGTACGTATTACACATTTTCTGACAGGAACAGAGTTTATTTTGCATTTCTTCCCCTGTTTAAACAGAAGCTTCACATGACATTATTCATAATAGTATAAATATTTATCTTTGAATTCTATTTAAGTGCCTATATTTATGTATATATATATACATACACACATATATTTTAAAACTCATTTTCTGTGTTGCCTCTAGAGAACTAATCTTCAGTGGTTTATCCAAATTCAACTTTTGACGGTTGCAACTTGAACACTTTTTCTGCTCTTTCCAAGGCTGCCAAACAGCATCTTTGCTTTACCCTAAATCCTGCCCTCCTTCTAGCGAACATCACTTATAAAATAAATTTACTTAAGAATAGCATCCCCTGATTTCACTAGAGGTAATATAAACACATCAGTTACTGCTTGCTTTTTTTTTCTAGGACAGTGGAAAAGGATGAAATTTCCCATAGGGGAATTAAAACAAATGATACCTGTATGGAGGCTTGCCTGTTCCTTACAGGAACTTTGCAAGTACATTGATTGTTTAAACATACCACTGGGAAAAATAATCTGTTTCACTAGAGTATTCTGCTTTTTTAAAAAAATCATGGTTTTTTTTTTTAGTGATACTTCACCGGGAAATGGAGAGTCTGCTCTGGAGCTTTGTTACAGAGGTTGCTTAGGAAAAGCTGGCAGGTAACCTACTTTTCCATTCCCAGAAAACACTTGAAAAAAAAGACAAGCATTTTCATCAGTGCTAATTAGTACTAGTTCCAACACCTTGATTTGTTTTTCCATAGTAACTGTGAACGAAAACTAAAACCTCCCGAAAAAACAAACAACTGATTTTAATGCTCACGGTACTCTTTTTGCTGCTTGCAAAGACTCAAGAAAATGATGAAGCTGCTCACAGTAAAAGAGAAGTCCTTGTTTAAATCAGAGTATGTCAGTGTGGTCCCTTTATGAATTTATTAAATACTTGCAATTGAATTTCTGCACTATTTCCCTGATTGAAGGAGAACTAGAGGGTGTGTTTGTGGCTGATTGCAATTCTTGATTGATAGAGACAACGACAGATTGCTATTAATATCAACTCATGTCTTTTTAAGGAAATATCCCTGACAGATACTGACTGTTCCTATCAAGAGAATGTCTTGTTTATTGTAAGATTGACTGCGTTAAAACTTGCTCTTTGAAAAATATGATGTAATTTGTATACTTGCATTATCTTCTTATATCCTCTTCCAAAAAATATACAGTGTTTTCTTTAATATGAGGGCAGCTGTGAAAGTAAGACCTCCTATTTAATTATGTTGGTCCACAACATCAGAGACAAATGTTGGTGGTATGGCATAGGAGTTGAACCATTCCACCACCCATTCCCCTGCATTTTGTGACAGGTGGCAGCAGAAGGACAGTCTGGTCAAATGGCATATGACTTGGAAACATGGATGAAGCAAAGGGGTAGAATTGAATTCCTCCATGCAGAAAAAATAGAACCCGGTGACATTCACTGATGCTTGCTGAACATTTATGGAGATCAAACAGTGGATGAGACCACAGTGCAATGACACTTGAGTGCATTTTAGCAGTAGTGACAGGGATGGTATGTCACTTCTGCTAGTTCAGATTTTTATGAACATAACATGCAGGCTCTTGTTCAATGCTGGTGAAAATGCATTGCTAATGGTTGTGGCTTTGTTGAAAAATAGTGTTTTGTAGCTGAGAATTTGCTTTATCAAATAGCGTTATTGTGTTCTATGTATCTGCTGTAAATAGGAATAAATAGGAGGCATTACTTTCGGAGCAACCTATGTGCAATAGAGCAGACAATTTGAGAGGTGACAGAAAAGACTGGTACGAGGGATGCATGTTTTGACTACAATGTAACTACTCTTTAAACAAAGGCACAATGGTTAGATGTAGATGTATCCTACCCGTGCTGTTTAAAACACAGCAAGAATATTGACTTGTACTATAGACTCACACGTTTTTCTGTCTAGAAGATTCTGATTATTTAATACATGCTACATAGGAAAGGGGAGGAAACAAAGTATTTTATGAGATGTAAATGTGAAGCCTGTATATGTTGCTTACATGTGATTATGTGCATTTAAAATACTCAGAGAAATCAGGAGTTTTTGTCCTCCTTCAGCTCTCCATCTCAACTCCAGAAAGAAAACCAACAATGAGATAATTCATAGATAGGAGATTATTCAGTCAACATTAGCAAGTCATGTTAAGTTCATTTGTCTGTGTTTTTGAGCAACTGGAGTTCACATCTCAGTTTTTTTTTCTACAGCTACTAAGCTAAAAACTGATATACAACTGAGATGTTTATGTATTTTACTCCCAAATTAATTTCTAGCTACAGTAAAAATGACGAAAATCTCAATAAAACTTCAGAAATGTGGGCGACCACACAGATTTGAAGAAAGATTCTGAGTTTTCAGCCCCTTATTTCAGGCCTGTATTTACTCTGAGTGGAGAAGAGGAGGAACAGGCCAGGCAGTTCTCTGGATCCAGGTGCCCAGTGTGTGCTCGGGCCATCCAACATGTTCAGCTTTACCTCAGGATTGGAGATGTTCTCATCTCTCATCAATGGAGAGTGCATGAAGTGAGCTGGACACCTGTATAGTTGCAGTTGCATGTTGATCTCATGCATGTTGCAATTAAAATTTTTGGTAGTGTCACAGTGAAGGCAGATGAGGAGGAGAGTTCTTACCCTTCCAAAGCAGTTTTTCAGTAGGATTGTGTATTTTCTAAACCAGTAAAGGACAGATAGAGATTGATAAAAATACTGCATTCTTATTGCACACAAAAATGCTTACAGTTTGTGGAGTAAATGTTGAGAAAGATTAAGAAAAATCTCACAAATCCCTAAAAATGAGAAAGGCTTTATGTGACAAATCATAACAGAAAGAGGCAGAACCACTGCCAAATATCACAGGAAAATAGCCTCATTTGAATATATCAGTTTGTATTTGTGCATATGGGATGTACATGTTCTTATGAGAAATATAGATAAGAGGTGACAAAATGTCCAGAACATGATCAGGCCATCTGGACCCTGGTGTGTTTAGTGTCAGCATTTAATTCTTGAGTGGCTTACTGGCACAGATTGGAGGACCTATTTAAAGAGTGCTGGACATCCAGTGAAAGAGCATTCATTTTTGTTTTGCTTGCAAGTATAAAAGCTCAAGGGAGACACATTTCTCTGCTGTATCTACCAGGAAAAGTTTTGCTAGAGCAAAAAACCTAAGAGTGTATAAATCAGATGTGTTTCTTCCTCATGCTTTTCTTTCCCACTGGCTCAAGTGATGTTGAGAGGAATAGCTTTGTAGCTTTTTTAGTTTTGGGTGGCTGGAGTGCTTCTCAGAAGTTTTAGAACAACATAAATAATAATTTATAATAATAATAATAATAATAATAATAATAATGGTTTGCTAGGAAACCATTTAAGAACTAGACATCTAGTTCTCAAGTGACTACTTGAATGTTAGTCCGTAACTGCCTACAAAGATCTCCCTAAAAACAGTCAGTATATTCTGACAGAAACTTCCAAATTCTGTCTAAACTTCAGAAAGTTTCATGTGATATGCAAATGGATTGTAGGAGAGATTAACCTTGGTTGCTGCTTATTTGCCTGAGTACGTTCCTGTAAGAGTGTTATAGCTTTTATCATCTTGGGATTTGTGCAAAGGACTGGAGCTGGTGAGTGTTTGAAGTCAATTATGAGTTACCCAGTTTTGTCCTGATAACAGTCAGCAGGAAAAATGTATAGACTGAGCTACTCCACATTCAAGCTAGTTTATATAATGACTCTATGTTTCCATAGTACTATTTTTGTGTTTGGTGTTTTTTGTTTGTTTGTTTTTCCTAATACTCTTTTTCCTTTCAAATTTTCAGTATAAATTGAATTGCTAACATTCATGCTTTTAACTGGTCATCAAGACTCAAGGCTGTCTTGCCCCTTCAATCATGATGCAAGAATTACATGACCCTTGCTATTTCTAAAGAATAATTAAGCACAAATAAGGGATGTTTACACATAAATGCTGAAACAAGTGCTTCTTGATCGGGTCTAATTTGATTTAATTTCACGGAGAGGAAATGATACGTCAGAGAGATTTCAAAATTAATTTTGAAACATTGAGAACTAATGAGTTTAAACTCATCTTTTTTTTCTTTTTATAAGAACAGGTGATCTTCTAAGAGATGACCTGCAATCTGGCAATAAAAGGTGGTGGCAGCAGAGCAAAATTACAGTGAAATATTTTGATTTTTCATTATAAATAATATGAGATAGTAGAGTAGTCAGCTAAATTAGAAGATCCTGATAAATATTCTAGATCACCTAGGGCTCTGAGTTCATTTATCTTTGGTACATTTTTTGTTGAACATAGTGTCTGTTTCATGTTAAATACCTGTCTAGAAACACTTGGGTAAAAGCCAGCTGGGTTAAGTCACACCATCTTCTTTCCAGCAAAACAAAATAAAACAAAGCAAAATGATGAAGAAAAAAAAAAAGTTCTCTTCTTTGTATTTTTGTTTGTTTGTTTGTTTTTCCACTGTAGGTCAACTGTTTTGTTCAAGCCTCTTGAATTTGTAAAAGTAAACTGCAGTTCTTGGTATATCTTTTTTCCTGGCCAGAAGGGAATTAAGCCCACGCAATTTTTATTTTCTATGACATTTCCATTCTTTCTCTCCTGAAGTGAATCAAACTTTACTTGGACTAGTTCAACCTGGAGCGAATTCTGTTTCTACTTTGTTATTTGAAGATGCAAATTAAAGGTAAAAGTATTTCTAGAACAGAGTTGGTCAGCGAAGTAGATGGCATCAATTTGTCATATGGCTGAAGATGATGATTAGATTAATAGTTTAGACTCCATGGGATTGAGGGGAGGTGGGAAAAGAAGATAATAATATATAATAGCTAGTAGTGTGCAATGGATCTTCAAATCATTTGTATTACTTGGTTAATAATCAAAGAGACATAAGTTAAAAATATGCATTAATTTGTTAATTCTAAATGGAAAGATTGATCTAGTAGGCAAAAAATAATGTTATGCTTCCTGCAGAATCTCAAAAAATAATCCATGGTTCTTTGACTAATTATCCATTTGGGAACATTACCCTGGATTTTTATTGTTATAGATAATTAGTTGTCTTTTATCTCTTGCACATGGATAGCACATGCTTTTACCAATGTTAAATGATCCCTAGAGAATGCTGAATACCTAAATTATTCGTTCCTGTAAAAAAAAAAAAACAAAAAAGCACAAAAACATAGTCAACATTTTTATTCAAGTATTGTGCTGCTGGTCTGGGATTTTTTTAAGGATGAGATATGACACTGCTTTTAATTGTGCAGTGTATGTATACCATGAATACAAACTAATAAAATACATGTGGCACATTTTCTTTAAGATGTTTATAGATTTGTAATTATTATCTCTAGGTCCATGAGACTCGGAGATCAGACAAAAAGTACTTTTTATGTTCGTTTTTGCTTTTTATTTTCTTTTTAATTGTTGAAGTATTCTTTTATGGTAAAGATAGGTTTGAGTGTTAGTTCAATTTCCAAGATTGCTGTGAGGTTCTTGTCAGACTTTGTGTGATGCATAGCTCATATTTTCCTAGATTCAATCCTGAAAAAGAAGAGGCAGAAGATACCATTTTTTCTAATTTCCTGC